GCGCCCGCTCCATCGCGTTCAGCTGATCCTCCACCAGGGGCCCGAAGAACTCCTGTAGCTGGTCCATGCCTGGCAGCTTGCAGCTTCAAATGCATGAGGCTTATCTGCCATAGTACAATGCATTTGGCAGGATGCTGTCGGGAGGCCTTTGAACTTGGAGCATAGACGGCTCGCCGGGATCATGAACTCTTCGTGATCGGCCTGATGAGACAGTCTGTAATACTGTAATGCTGTTTGACCTTGCTGGAGCAGGCAATCCACTGGGAGCACAGGGTGCAGTAGTGTCGAAGCCACTGTCGGTTTTGCAGGTGAAAGGCCGCATTCTCTGAGTGTTGCGCGAGAAGGCTCCGCACCCTGGCTGGGTCGTCTGAAGTACGGTAGGTCTTCGTCGTGTGCGTCCGCTGTGGCTTGACCTGGGTACGGTGGAGGCACGTCGGGTGGGGACCTAGAGTCTGGCCTATAGCGAGGTCCTCAGGTGGATGGGGTACGGGCGTGGGTGGGCTGTCCCTTGCAACGCTTGTTGGTGCCTGCTGGGCCAGATGGTTAGGATCTGGGGGGGAGGGTGCAGCGTGGCAGGGCGTGTCTGGCAGCCGGGATTGGGGCGTTGGTGTTTGTTTGCCTGTTAGGGGCTGGACTGGAAACAGCACCCTGCACCGGTGCTCCTCAATGTGTTTGCGCAAACTTGAAAAATCATAAAGCTTGACGCTGCAGTGCCTGCGTTGTGGGAGACCCCCCAAGGCGTCCTGGTGCTTGTCAAACCTGCGCTGTGTCTGGTTGACCGGTCGGGCCTCGTGGTTCTTATGCTGCTTTGCCATATGTGCTAGCAGTGACGACCTCGTAGCGAAGTAGACGCCACATTCCGGGCGTGGGGTGCCGGTGCTGGTGTGGTCTGTGAGCTCAAGGAGTGTAGGGGTGTGCGTCACACTGAGTGGTGCCATGACCCTCTGCCATACGTTGCTTCCTGGCCCGCGTCAAAGCATCTGGACACATGCTGAGGTCGGAGGTCTCTTTATTTAGCTGGCGCTTCAGTGCTTCGATCGGATGCAGCAGTTTCCACTTCTCAAGGACGTGGTGGTGCGATGTTCCTGTCATGTACACAGGGTCTCTGACGACGAGACGGATCTGCCGGATGAGCTGTGCCGTGAGGCGCTGCATCCCCATGGGTGTAAGCCCGCTCGCATCAAGGCTGTATAGGTCGTGGCTGTATATACGCAGGCCTGCCATATGCGTTCCTCTGAGTATTCTGGTTAGTCTGCCAAAGTTATTGGACCCGACTTCGAGCCTATGCGCCAGGGTCCTGTCCTCGAAGTGGTCATAACTGACAATGGCACCCAGGTACATAAATGAGTCAACTAGCGGGATGTCGTAGCAGTGACTGGCGCTCCTGATGCGTAGGACTCTGCCCGTGCTTGTTTTGCGCGTAAACTTTCTACGGAGCTGTTCCGAGCCTGGTCCGGCACATTTCAAGATGGCTTTGCTTTTTGAGGGGCTGACCAGCATACCCATTTCTTTTCAAGCGTATGAAGGAGCGCAGCAACTCGTCCGAGCATGGTCTCCAGTTCGTGCTGCGTCTGGAACTCTCCCGAGCAGTGGTAGTCGTCCGCAAAGATGTTAAGGAGGTCTACCGTGGCTTGGTACCCAATTTACCCAATCTTGGTGGCAAGTGTGTCACTGATCAGGTGGGAGAAAATAAGCCATAGCAGGGGCGCTACTGCGCAACCCTGTCGGACTCCTTGGGTGGCATGAAAATGACCCTATCCGTGCCGTCATGATTGATGTGGTAGTGGGCATTGTGATGCCAGCAGAGCACGATCTGTATGAAGGGCTCACAGGCAGCTGCATTCTATGCATTCCTTCCAAGAGTCTGTGTCTGGGCATGGCATCAAAGGCACCAGCTAGGTCGAGCGTGATCTGTAATCCCCCTGCCAAGGTTTTGGTGGCCGTGCCTGCAAATTTGTCATGTAAGGTGCTGTGGTGGGCGCGGCATCTGGACCTGACCTGGGCGCAATGATCGAATACGCGGCGTAAAGCGTCCCTGTGCGACCTGCTCGGTGTATACCCGTACTGCGGGTACTGTGTTGTGTGACTATAGATAAGCTCCTGGTACGGTGCCACCAGCGCCTTGAACGCGAGCTTGCCAAGCTGGTCCTGGAGGCCGATAGGCCTGTAGTGTCCGGCCTCTGTGCCTGCTTTGTTGGGCTTGCGTAGTAGGATAAGGTGAGCGTCAGACCACCTTTGTGGCACAATGGCGGGACGGTTGCACCAGTTTCTGTCAAGCGCCTTGCACACCTGCACCGCAGCGATATCCGCACAGAGTCGCCAGATGGCACTGGGCGGGTGTCCGAGTGGGACAGCCTTGCGAAGTGGGGCCTTCTGAAGGTGCTGCGCGAGTTCATGCGGGTTCAGCAGGGGCCCGTCTGGGGCCGCCTCAGGGTGGCTCGCCAATCGGTTGGCGCCGGCTGTCATTTGCATGTCCGCATCCACACTGGCCGTGAACCTGGTGGTGAAGTGCTGGTGGAAGCAAGTGGCTTCCTCACTTCTGGACATCATTTGACCTTTGGCGTCCCTGAGTTGCGGTCTACTTCTTCTGGTTTTGGGAGCCAGGGTGCGAACCACCTGGTAGAGGAGGCGCTGGTTGTGACTCTGTGCTGCTTTCTCCGCAGTCTGCATCTGTTCGAGGATATATTCCTTTTTTGTGGTGCGGCAGCGTTCCTTGTGGCTCTTATACAGGCGGTTGTAACGATGCCATGTTTGCCATCTTCCCAAGATAGCGCGAAGTGTGGTATCCCTGTTGTCACTGCGATAGTGGCGCCACGCTTTCCACATGTCTTTGATACCCTGTTGCACTTGTGGCTGTTGCCAGCGCGCAATTTTGGCCGTAGTCTGGGGTGCTTTGGGAAAGTGTTCGGCAGCGATGTCGTAGATGATTTTGGAGATGTCTCCAGCCTTGGCAGCGGATTGTACCACCTCCAGTTGTGTTTGCACTTCTTGTCGAAACTTGGCAACGTCGGGGTGCAGTTCAGGATTCTTGTGTTGGGTGAGCTACACAATTCGTTCTGCTTCCACTTGGTGGGTTTGTGGAAGATTTTAAAGTAGAAGGGAAGTGTGGCGGCAATGGGTGTGTGCATGCCTCCTCCCTGTCTCCAGCCGCCTACCGGGCAGTTATGGAGAGGTCTTGCCTGGCGTGCTTCCTTGGTGGAGTGGCTGCTTCTTATCATAAGATAGTCAAGTTGTGCGTGATGCTTGCCAAAATGAAACGTGTGAGCCCTGCTTCCTGGGGCACCCCAGGTGTTCAGAACTGTGAGAGAGTGTGTGGTGAGGATGGTGTTGAGCTCGGCTGCATCCGGGGCCCGCTCCGCAGAGAGGGCACCCGTCCCATGCCCGATGTGTGGGTGGAGTGAGGATAGCTGAACGTTAAGGTCCCCGCCTATGATCAGAACCTCTCGGTAGGGTATACCTCCTATGCATCGGGCAAGCTTCTGCCAAAAGACACTGCGCTTCTCCAGAATGTGAGCGTCTTTAGGGGTTCCAGGCGTGTTGGTATGCACATATGACGCTGAGGACTCGACCTGTAGCTCCCAGCGGAAATCTAGCGCGTAGGAGTCTGCCTGGGATGACCGCGTCATGCCGGACCTCCTGTACGTTGGTGACCGTTGGTGATGGATTTCCTGATTAGGATCATGACCCCTGCATGCTTCTGGGCTGGAGTGCCTGAGCCAATGCAGATCCAGTAGGGGTCGAGTACTCGCTATCATCCCTGAGCTTGGATTCCTGGATCAATGCGACATCATAGTGCGATTGGTCAAGGAAGCTCATGAGGTCTTCGTACATACCCGAGCCCAGGCCTCCCACATTGTGGCAGTAGACCTTCAGGTTGCGTTGGGGGTTGTGATTCTGGGGTGCTCGGGTTAGTGTGTGCTGCTCCTGGCTATTCGTGGGTCCGTCAACAGTGAGTATGCGTCCTCTTGATGGCGCGGCCACATGCTCTCTTAAAAGATCTCTTGACGTATCGATTCCAGTTGTGAGTAGGTTCCTGCTTCCCATAGATGACTTGTATTCCGTTTTGCTTCGGCACTAATTGTAAGTACGTACGGCCTGTTGGGTTGCCTTCCCCAGTCCCAGCGGAAAGAGCTGGAACCCTCACACTGTGGGAAAGCTGACATTGTATCAGAATCATCAGAAAGGTGAGTTTGCTTCCCACCCCGGACTTGGGACCGGGCCGGCTGCTGATTGAGAAGTGATCATCCACGCTTGCCAGCCCTAGGGGGCTGCTCCCATGGTTAGGGGGCAAAGGTTTGCACGTCCCTGACCTTCGAGCGAGTGCACACAGTAGAATGTTGAGTTCATGCCAGGCTGTGTTATGTACTGCAGACCTCAACAGTTCGCAAGCAGACTGCTGCATCCAGCGATGCAGGTGGGGGCTAACTTGGCTCAACGCAATAGTGGCCCTCCAGGGGCCACTTCGCTGCCGCGTCGGCGTTTTCTGGGCGGGCTACCCATCCTAATTTTTCTCGGACGATTGGGTGGCTGACCCTCACGCTGATGCAGTTTGCTGGTTGCGTGGCCTGGCCGCCGCCGTTCGTAGATGCAGGTCCTGCAGGTCAGGGGGATGCATACGTGTATCCTATGGATAGGGGCGGGCAGCTTGGCATGGCAGGCAGGGGCACAAAAAGCCATGTGCTGTGTGTCCCGTGCCGGTGCACGTGAAATCGCCAATGCGACCTGCTGCGGGTGGGGTGGACCGACATCGGCAGTCAACACCTCGGAGATCCGCAGAATTTGGACGCTCTGGAAAAAAGCCGGGTCGATGGTGGCTTCCGTCAGGATCACCTCGTTGGCCGACCTATAGAATCTGACACCGGATGCCGCTGCATCTTGAGCGCGAATCCATATGGCTAAGTCACAGGAGTTGCGCATGCCCGACATGGCACCTTTCCAGGGCAACTGCTCCACCAAGTGCACGTGGCGGCGGAAGGACTGGCCTTGCCGTCCTCCGGCCATCAGGCGTGGCGCAGGATGCTCTCGTAGAAGTCGTAGTACGTTCCGTGGGCCGCGTAGACCGGGGTGTCCTCGGTGGATAGCCGGGTTAGGATCAAATCATCTTTGATGTGGCGGATGGAGTGGCCCTGGAGGGCTCGGACCTGGTAGCGGCCATCCCGGAAGTCGACTTCAAACCTGTTCTTCTGGTTGTAGTGGATGACGCCAACTACCTCCGCCTCTGTGATCCATTGGTCCCAGAACCTTGGGGCCCGTAAGAGGTCTCCCATGTCCATATAGCCATCCTCCCTGATGCGGATGCCCAGTCTGGGCGCGGCGTGACGCGCGCCGCGGCTGTCCGTTCTTGCGCACCCAGTGCTCCGTTCCCGACTCCTCAACTTCCTGTGTCACAGACCCTGTTCCAGAGTGCGGGCTTGGTTGGCGGGCTCGGAGGTGGCCTCACCCGGTGGCCACCTATGAGCGAGGCGGAGGGCTCAGGAGGGGTCCCCGAGGGTGACTACCTTGGAGTTGTCATGTTCACATCATTCGAGTGGTTTAAGGATTCTTGATCCACAGTGGGTTCCTCCATCTTCTGGTCGAGGAGCTGCAGTGGTAGAGCTGGCGGTGGGGTCTCTGGGACCTTTGCCTCCTCCTTGGCCGTCGCCTGGTTCGCGGTCGGTGGCTCCCGTGCTTCGGGATGCTGGTGTGTCTTCTCTGGAGTCTGGAGGCTGTCTCCGCGAGGCCCGCCACTGTGTAGTCCGCGAAGGTCTTCTGCTCCGGCTTCTCCCGGTTGCGGGATGGGGGTGGTTTCGTGTAACCTTATAATATGGATGAACTCTGCCGGGTTCACCTTCCACTTCATGGCATTGCAGGTGGCCGGTGTGCACTGGTCCATCATAGCCGTGATCAGCACCACCAGGTGCTGAAAGCTGCCAAGCCATGCATGTGGCTTTCGGTGTCTGTTTTGACGAGTAGACTGTGAAGGCTTCCACGAAGGTCCCACACTTCTCTGCATTGTCGTAGACACCTCTCAGCTGTGGGCTTGGCAGTGAGCACACGAGTGATAGGTTCCAGTTACCCACCCTCGGGAAGTCCTGTGTGGCAGCACCCTGATGAAAGTCATCGTGGAGTTTTGTGAAGTCGCCGGATCTGTAGAAGGCGTGGAGCAGCGTGGGGAGGCCCGCGTTGGCGAGCTTTTCCAGGAGCTCGACCACTTTGTGCAGCCTGTCCAGCTGGTTTGCGCAGAGATCTTCCGCAGGAGGAGGCGCCGAGACAGGCTTCCCTGCTTGTTGTCTTTGCACAAACTCATCACTGACCTGGGTGCTCCGTGATCTCTTGGAGGCCGGTGGTCCCGAGGCTTTGCGAATCGGCGACGGTTCTGACGTGTCCTGGTCGTAGGAGGAGTCATCGCTGTGAGATTCTCTCCTGTCATCTCTTGCCTCCTCTTTCTCCTCGTACCAGCTGTAGTCGTCATCATAGTGCTCCTCTTCTGCTGGTCGCCGATCATCAGCACGTTCAGGTTCCCCCCTTGGGTTGCGCCAGCTCCAGCGCTCATCGTCCTGGTGCCACCAGTCCGTTTGCCAATCCTGCTGCTTCCAGGACTCCCAGGGTCCGGAGGATGGCCCACCTATATCCTCTCTTCTTCTGGGGCCTCTTGTCTGCGAGGGCTCCCCAACGTGGTGCCCCTCTTGGCTCTCATCCGTATGAATTCTGTAGTGCTGCGGACGTTCACGGTCTGTCGAAGGGGCCGCTGCTTGTGCAGGGCCGCCTCGCCGCTGTTGTTGTTGGCGTGCCTGCACCTCCTTCCAGTATTCCACGTAAAGGGGCCCTTTTACGGAGCTCCCCTGCTGTCCTGCGACGCCTGCCATCCGGTCTGTACCGCGACCTAGGCGGTCTCTGCTGAGCCCCCTCGCCGGGATGCCTTCTGCACACACGCAGCAGGAGTGAGGCAGGCGGGAGGATACAGATGCACTAGCAGACTCATGTGTGTTGCAATCTAAGCTCACAGTGACTGTATGGTCAGGCCTTTGCACGCTCACGACTGCGACTACGGCAATTATGGCATCAACACGCGGTCCTGGTGGGTCTTCACGCTGAGGATTCGCCGTCTGATACTGCATGTTGCAGTCGCGCCTGTGCGTTAGTGGAGGGAGGGGCTCCGGGGGTTCCAAGGGTCTTCGGGGGCAGCGTCCTGGTTGGGTTGTCCCTACGGTGCAAGACGGACGGGCAGAGCATGTCCTGTGTAGCTTGGGGCCCTGGCCAAGCCGCCTAATCCATGGCGTGCAAGTCCACCACAGTGGCGCTCTCAAGAATTTCAGGTTGGTCATGTGTATGCTGCGAGTCATACCTATTCTGAGCCACTTGCAGGGATTGTTGCGCCAGAGCACGGCTGTATGCTGGCATGCGTTTGCGTCTGCTTCGCTTCTTGCTTCGTGGTGATTCAGGCTGGGAGGGTGGCAAAGGCCTAGGCCTGTCAAGGCTTGAGGTGCATGGCTCCTCATCGGAGGATCGATCAGCCTTGAGTATTGCGTACGCCTCAGTACATTTGTTGAGGCCATGCACCTTCGCTTGGGGCCACTTGGCTCCCAACGCCTGACCAATGATATTTATCAAGACAACTGGCGCGAGCATCATCAGCAGGGGCCCCAAACTGCCAGGCACCACTTTGTAATGACGATTCCTCTGACGTTGTGTGTGCGCACTGCTCCATGGCATGGATGGGATCTCCTCTAAGCAAAAAAGTTTGCGTCCCGCTATTGGGACACGTCTGAGCCGGAGTGCTTACTACTACTACTACTACTACTACTACTACTGCTACTGCTACTGCTACTACTACTTACTACTACTACTACTACTACTACTACTACTACTACTACTCCTGCTGCTGCTGCTGCTGCTGCTGCTGCTGCTG